TGAGGAATTGGAAGATTTTAACAGTATATTTGGCCCCTTTTTGAGCTGAACTCAACTAGAGAGGCATAAAAATCTTATTCTTAAAAGAGCATACACTGGGGAAAGAACTAGTAAAATATGCTGAAAATTCAGGGGTGGAAATGTATTTAAGTATACAGCTGAGGAGTAAATGTCAGAGAATTTTGGTTCAAGTTGTGGAACTATTTGCGAATCTGGTCTAATGACAAATAACGTTGAAAACTTAGAATCTTGAAGATCCACATTTTTATGTATGAAATTTACTAGTTTCTTATGAATTAAGGAATTATTAGGGAAAGGTATTACTAGGAATTTTTAGAGCAATTAGCAGTGTGCAAAGGCATTGACTTTAAACTATCTAAATTTCAAACCATACAACTTTATAGAATAGATAGGCGAAAAAACCTCAGTAAAGAGCTGTCAATAATTCTGTGAAAACCCCATTTCAGATTAAATTTTTTCCGACTTCCCATCGACAGGCAACTTCCTGTAATCAACAAATTGGGTCGCAGCCGGTATAGCTGCCTATAATTTCCAATCAAAAAGGAAATTTTATCGAAAAATCACAGTCAATGGCATTTAGTTTAATCTTTGGACAAACACAAACTGATTGCTAAAAAGCCTTGTCAATCATATTTTGCAAAACAAACATTAAACTAAAAGCCATTTTTAAAACTCCTTTTGGGAATCAAGTCAATATTTATCTTATATCCGATTGTTAAAAGTTCCTTGTCCTCAAAGTTCCTTCGCCTCATTTTCTCGAAGCCCCGTTTTTCTTGTGCGTGCCGGCTACGCCAGTCTTCTTCTTTTAGTGGTGGTCACCGTAAAACCATCAGCTGAGTGCCACAGAGCCTAAAGGGTCAGTGCTCTTCTGCTTTTCTGCCCATAGTAAGATAGACTCAAGGTTATAGAGCCGGATTCCACAACGTAACAACTTTTTGGCACAATAATAATTCGATTATTATTATTGGTTGGCACATTTTGAAGGTACCAATAGGTTTTTTGAAGAGGGTTTGTGGGTGGTGCAATATCCTACTATTCAGTGTTGTCAATTGAACATTTTTGGTATCAAGATATTTGAAATGTCAGGCTTGCCAATAGACAACAAGTTATTTAAACTTTACATCGCCTACTTGGATATGTAACTTTCAGTGTTACCAATAATTGCGAAGTTTCACATTTCAAAATCATTATCTGCTGTCTTATTCTTATCTTAACGGCCTTCTAGTTTTCAGTGTTTTATTCCCACCGAGCTTCATTATTTGTTACCAATAATTATTCTTTCTTCTGAAATTCCCAATGGATCAATCGGTTTATCAGGCTCTATTTGAGGTAAAATTAACTTGAAAATCATGTACTTGAATCCTTTTTCTTGCTCTCTTGATTTCTGATCATTCTTAAGTTAAAATTGAGCAGAAAGTTCTAGTTGACCCTCATTGAACTGAAGCTCGATTAGAATTGCATTAAAATCCTATTCCAGGCTCTTCTAACAAAACAAACTTCGATTCCTGACCATCTTAGACTGGATTTTAAAATTGAATTTCAGCTAAGATGGTCTATAGGGCTCTTTTTTGTCCATTTTTGAGGTAGAATCCACTAGAAAAGCTTGTAAATCCAATCTCTGACTCTTCTAGAGTAGTAAGTTCTGCTTTCTGACCATTTTCAAGTTAAAAATGCGTTAAAAATCCTATTTTTAGCTTTTGTTAAACAATCCACGAATTGATAATTGGGCTGAAAGTAATGTAAAAAGATGAAACTACTAACAAGAATTTTCTCAACGCAAGATTATAAGCCTGAAATTTGATGTGCAAATCCTATTTCTATAGCAGTAAGTTCTGATTTCTGACCATTCTCAAGTTGCGACTTGCTGTATTGACGAATAGAGCTTAGAGTAGAGTTAAAGATTTAAAAAACCCAAAAATAAAAACTTTGACAATGCACCAGATATCCACCATTTTGATGAATTACGGAATTATAGAGGAATTTTTCTTTACTTTCGATTTTTGGCCAATCTTCAATTATTAGGTATAATTCAAGGGGTAAACCACCATCTCAGAATTGGTGCAAACAATTCCTTAAAGGGGAATTGATACCCTGTCACAAATTCCTCCAAATACCCCACCACGAACTTCTCCAAATATTCCATAAATTCCTCTAAAAAAAGGGAAAATTTTAAAACTTTCTGCGTGTAAAGATGAAGGTGAGAAGATCATTTTCCCAAATTTTTAAAATTTTCCAGTGGAAAACAGCAACATGGAAAATCTTGGAAATCAACCTACACAAACTGCAGGAAATACAGTCTCACACATTTCAAAGTTTTCCTGGAAAACTAATGAAGGGAACATTTTGAAACTCTTTGCATGTTAAGAGGAAGGTGAGAAGCTCATTTTCCCAAAGTTTCAAATTTTTCCAGTGAAAAACAGCAACATGAAAAATCTTGGAAATCAACCTACAATAACTGAATTAGTTGAAAATACAGTCTCACACATTTGAAAGTTTTCCTGGGAAACTAGTGAAGGGAAAATTTTGAAACTTTTTGCATGTTAAGAGGAAGGTGAGAAGCTCATTTTCCCAAAGTTTCAAATTTTTCCAGTGAAAAACAGCAACATGAAAAATTTTGGAAATCAACCTACAAAAACTGAATTAGTTGAAAATACAGTCTCACACATTTGAAAGTTTTCCTGGGAAACTAGTGAAGGGAAAATTTTGAAACTTTTTGCATGTTAAGAGGAAGGTGAGAAGCTCATTTTTCTAAAATTTCAAAATTTTTCTAATAGAAAATAACAACATGAAAAATCTTGGAATTCAACCTACAAAAACTGAATTAGTTGAAAATACAGTCTCACATAATTTTAAAGTTTTCCTGGAAAACTAGAATAGGGAAAATTTTGAAACTTTTTGCATGTAAAGAGGAAGCTGAGAAGCTCATTATCCCAAAATTTCAAATTTTTCTAGTGGAAAATAACATGTGGAATATTGGAAATCAACCTACAATAACTGAATTAACTGAAAATACAGTCTCACATATTTCAGAGTTTTCCTGGAAAACTAGTGAAGGGAAAATTTTGAAATTTTTTGCATGTAGAGAGGAAGGTGAGACGCTCATTTTCCCAAAATTTCAAGTTTTTCCAGTAGAAAACAGCAACATGAAAAATCTTGGTAGTCAACCTAGAAAAACTGAATAAGTTGAAAATACAGTCTCACACATTTCAAAGTTTTTCTGGAAAACTAATGAAGGGAAAATTTTGAAACTTTTTGCATGTTAAGAGGAAGATGAGAAGCTCATTTTCCCAAAATTTCAAAATTTTTCAGTGGAAAATAGCAACATGAAAATTATTGGAAATCAACCTACAATAACTAAATTAATTGAAAATACAGTCTTATACATTTCAAAGTTTTTCTTGGAAAACTAGTGAAGGGAAAATTTTGAAACTTTTTGCATGTTAAGAGGAAGGTGAGAAGCTCATTTTCCCAAAATTTCAAAATTTTCCAGTGGAAAATAGCAACATGAAAAATATTGGAAATCAACCTACAATAACTGAATTAATTGAAAATACAGTGTCCCACATTTCAAAGTTTTCCTGGAAAACTAGTGAAGGGAAAATTTTGAAACTTTTTGCGTGTAAAGAGAAAGGTGAGAAGCTCATTTTCCCCAATGTTTCAAATTTTTCCAGGGAAAAACACCAACATGAAAAATCTTGGAAATCAACCTACAAAAACTGAATTAGTTAAAAATACAGTCTCACACATTTCAAAGTTTTCCTAGAAAACTAGTAGAGGGAAAATTTTGAAACTTTTTGCATGTAAAGAAGAAGGTAAGAAGCTCATTTTTCCAAAGTTTCAGATTTTTCCAGTGGAAAATAACAACATGAGGAATATTGGAAATTAACCTACAATAACTAAATTAATTGAAAATAACAGTATCACATATTCAAAGTTTTCCTGGAAAACTAGAGAAGGGAAAATTTTGAAACTTTTTGCATGTAAAGAGGAAGGTAAGAAGCTCATTTTCCCAAAATTTCAATTTTTTCCAGTGGAAAATAACAACATAAGGAATATTAGAAATCAACCTACAATAACTGAAATAATTGAAAATACAGTCTCACACATTTCAAAGTTTTCCTGGAAAACTAGTGAAGGGAAAATTTTAAAACTTTTTGCATGTAGAGAGGAAGGTGAGACGCTCATTTTCTCAAAATTTCAAATTTTTCCAGTAGAAAACAGCAACATGAAAAATCTTGGAAGTCAACCTACAAAAACTGAATTAGTTGAAAATACAGTCTCACACATTTCAAAGTTTTCCTGGAAAACTAGTGAAGGAGAAATTTTGAAACTTTTTGCATGTTAAGAGGAAGGTGAGAAGCTCAGTTTCCCAAAATTTCAAAATTTTTCAGTGGAAAATAGCAACATAAAAAATCTTGGAAATCAACCTACAATAACTGAATTGATTGAAAATACAGTCTCACACATTTCAAAGTTTTCCTGGAAAATTAGAGAAGGGAACATTTTGAAACTTTTTGCATGTAAAGAGGAAGGTGAGACGTTCATTTTCCCAAAATTTCAAATTTTCCCAGTGAAAAACAGTAAGATGAAAAATCTTGGAAATCAACCTACAAAAACTGTATTCATTATTCTTTTGAATTTTTTAAATTTGACAATTTCCTTTAAATTTTTCATAAATTCCTCACAAATTCTCCCAAATTCCCTATAAATTCCTCCAAATTCCCTATATATTCCCCAAATTCTCATAAATTCGGATGAGTTCCTACAAATTCCCCACAAATTCCTCTAAATTCCCCACATTTTTGGCAAAGAATTCCTAGGTGGTTTGCCCCTTTGGTTGGCACGTGCTGGGTGGTCATAAAACAAACCTCCTCCAATAAACCGTGGGTTTGTGGGTGGTGCGGTGTAAACTAATACCCTAATTTTATGGCTGCTTTTATGTTTACGCCTAATAAATTATTTACTTTTTTTTTTTACAGTTGGTAGTAAAGATCGCCGCCAAAGAGGGTCTCAAACGCCTTACGGAAATCGAAAGACCGAAAATCGAACCGAAAGCGCACGTCATCACCAATCACATTTTGGTCCACAACAATCATAATGTAAGTAAATACAAATTCAAAACATCTAATTTGAAAAATAACACGCAAATCATTAGCCGTATAATTACCTAATTATCACTCTGAAATTAGCCGTGTAATGGCTCAATTATACCAAATCAAGGTAAAACTACATTTCAGGCTTTGGAATTATTGTTTCGAAATCTAGCACACAAATAAATTATTTTCCCCTTTCGAGTCCCTTGCGTGTCCCAACACTCATCCCTAGGGATTAATACTAATATAACACACAAACGGCATCATCGTTTCGAGATATGTTGCCGCACGAACACCCCTTTGTTAAAGCTACATACATATTGTAAATCCTATGCCAGAACTGGATTAGAATTCCTGGATTGTTTGGTAAAAATTGGTATCCATTAAATTAGTGCAAGAATTGTCTGAGAGTGGTAGATTTCCTGTCCAATCAAGGTAAAACGGACAACGACAGCCCTTTTGTGTGAAAACGGAGAGCGTGTTAATAGGGTATCAGGGTAAATGGAGACAATTGACCTTTTGGGGTGAGCTTATTTTATAGAGTTTGATTTTCTCTAATCAAAACACCAATCATCAAATATTTAAATGGCTGTTAGGCTATAGTAATTATCGCGGGAAATTTACTAGCCTGTCCCACTGGAAAATTTATTTTCGTTAGTGAAGTGAATTTTCCCAGTATAAATAGAATCAAATTAGTTTTATAAGTTAATTGTTTTAGCGTAGATGTATAGTGGTTTTGCTTTATATCGTCAAGTCGTGGGGTTCTTGTCCCCATATATTCAGATCGTTATCTGTAAATGTGTTGACGATTATTCTAACAAGGCTTTTATGTTAATTGAGTCGGAACAAAAAAAAAAAAAAAAACCAACCAACCAACTGAAGCGCTTATGAACAGCCAAACGTCTGAATAATAAAGTCGGAAAATTTATGGGGTCCGCTTTGGGTTGACACGCGAACCATTATAGGGACTTGCTAACTAACAAATTCGCCCGCCTTATGTTCAAAGCAAATATATTACGAATTTGTTGTGAATTTGTCCAACGTGTAATTTAATAGGGAATCTCCATCTTTGCTTGGTTTTGCACAAGGGGCAAACCACCATCCCAGAATTGGTGCAAACAATTCCTCGAAGTGGAATTTTTTACGCATAATTCCTGCAAATTCCTCCAGATACCCCATCACAAATTCCTCCAAATACCCCACCACGAACTTCTCGAAATACCCCACAAATTCCTCTAAATTCCCTGCGAATTCCTTCAAATTTTCACAAATTCCTCCAAACTCCTCTCAAATTTCCTACAAATGTCTCCTACAAGTGGAAAACAGCAGCATGAAAAATCTTGGAAAGCAACCTACAAAAACTGAATTAGTGGAAAATACAGTCTCACATATTTGGAAAACTAATGAAGGGAAAATTTTAAAACTTTTTGCATGTAAAGAGGAAGGTGAGAAGCTCATTTTCCCAAAATTTCAACTTTTTCCAGTGGAAAATAACAACATAAGGAATATTGAAAATCAACCTACAATAACTGAATTAATTGGAAATATAGTCTTACACATTACACATTTCAAAGTTTTCCTGGAAAACTAGTGAAGGCAAAATTTTGGAACTTTTTGCATGTAAAGAGGAAGGTGAGAAGCTCATTTTCCCAGAATTTCAAATTTTTCCAGTTGACAACTACAATACATATGAGACATCTTGGAAATCAACCTACAATAACTGAATTAATTGAAAATACAGTCCCACACATTTTAAAGTTTTCCTGGAAAACTAGTGAAGGGAAAATTTTGAAACTTTTTGCATGTAAAGAGGAAGGTGAGAAGCTCATTTTCCCAAAATTTTAAATTTTTCCAGTGGAAAACAGCAACATAAAAAATCTTGGGAATCAACCGAGGAATCAACCTACAAAAACTGAATTAGTTGAAAATACAGTCTCACACATTTCAAAGTTTTCCTGGAAAACAAGTGAAGGAAAAATTTTGAAACTTTTTGCATTGAAAGAGGAAGGTAAGAAGCTCATTTTCCCAAAATTTCAACTTTTTCCAGTGAAAAATAACAACATGAGGAATCTTGGAAATCAACCTACAATAACTGAATTAATTGAAAATACAGTCTCACATATTTCAAAGTTTTCCTAGAAAACTAGTGAAGGGAAAATTTCGAGACTTTTTGCATGTAAAGAGGAAGGTGAGAAGCTCATTTTCCCAGAATTTCAAATTTTTCCAGTAGAAAAGTACAACATGAGGAATCTTGGAAATCAACCTACAATAACTGGATTAATTGAAAATACAGTCTCACACATTTCAAAGTTTTCCTGGAAAACTAGTGAAGGTAACATTTTGAAACTTTTTACATGTAAAGAGGAAAGTGAGAAGTTCATTTTCCCAAAATTTCAAATTTTTCCAGTGGAAAATAGCAACATGAAAAATCTTGAGAATCAACCTGAAAACTGAATTAATTGAAAATATAGTCTCAAATATTTCAAAGTTTTCCTGGAAAACTAGTGAAGGGAAAATTTTGAAACTTTTTGCATGTAAAGAGAAAGGTGAGAAGCTCATTTTTCCAGAATTTCAAATTTTTCCAGTAGAAAAGTACAACATGAGGAATCTTGGAAATCAACCTACAATAACTGAATTAATTGAAAATACAGTCTGACATATTTCAGAGTTTTCCTGGAAAACTAGTGATGGGAATATTTTGAAACTTTTTGCATGTAAAGAGGAGAGTGAGAAGCTCATTTTCCCAAAATTTCAAATTTTTCCAGTAGAAAATAGCAACATGAAAAATCTTGGGAGTCAACCTACAAAAACTGAATTAGTTGAAAATATAGTCTCACACATTTCAAAGTTTTCCTGGAAAACTAGCGAAGGGAAAATTTTGAAACTTCTTGCATGTAAAGAGGAAGGTGAGAAGCTCATTTTCCCAAAATTTTAATTTTTTCCAGTGGAAAACAGCAACTTAAAAAATCTTGAGAATCAACCTACAAAAACTGAATTAGTTGAAAATACAGTCTCACACATTTCAAAGTTTTTCTGGAAAACTAGTGAAGGGAAAATTTTGAAACTTTTTGCATGTAAAGAGGAAGGTGAGAAGCTCATTTTCCCAAAATTTTAAATTTTTCCAGTGGAAAACAGCAACATAAAAAATCTTGGGAATCAACCGAGGAATCAACCTACAAAAACTGAATTAGTTGAAAATATCAGTCTCACACATTTCAAAGTTTTCCTGGAAAACTAGTGAAGGAAAAATTTTGAAACTTTTTGCATTGAAAGAGGAAGGTAAGAAGCTCATTTTCCCAAAATTTCAACTTTTTCCAGTGAAAAATAACAACATGAGGAATCTTGGAAATCAACCTACAATAACTGAATTAATTGAAAATACAGTCTCACATATTTCATAGTTTTCCTAGAAAACTAGTGAAGGGAAAATTTCGAGACTTTTTGCATGTAAAGAGGAAGGTGAGAAGCTCATTTTCCCAGAATTTCAAATTTTTCCAGTAGAAAAGTACAACATGAGGAATCTTGGAAATCAACCTACAATAATTGAATTAATTGAAAATACAGTCTCACATATTTCAAAGTTTTCTTAAAAAACTAGTGAAGGGAGAATTTTGAAACTTTTTGCATGTAGAGAGGAAGGTGAGAAGCTCATTTTCCCAAAGTTTCAAATTTTTCCAGTGAAAAACAGCAACATGAAAAATTTTGGAAATCAGCCTACAAAAACTGTATTCATTATTCTTTTGAATTTTTTAAATTTGGACCTGTAAATCATGAAGTGTAATTTTGGGAGAATTTCTTTAATAAAAATGAATATCCAACGTCCAACACAAAACTAGATTTTTTTAAAAATTCCCATTTATTACTATTTCTCATAATAAGAATGTGAACCTCAGTGATGTCATGTCTCTTCAATTTCCTTTAAATTCCTCACAAATTCTCCCAAATTCCACATAAAAATTCGTCCAAATTCCCCACAAATTCCTCTAAATTCCCCACATTTTTTGCAAAGAATTTCTAGGTGGTATGCCACTTGGTTTTGCATGTCAACGTGTTATGTTATATTAATGTCAGCATTATCAAGTTATCATAAAAGAGAACCTACCATCACATTCCTTAGTGAAGAAAATGTAAAAATCCAATTCCAAAGGATTCCAAAATATAATACTCTGATTTATAACTATTTGTGGTTTGAAAGGGACATTGTTGGGTCAAATTTGAAATTGAGAATTGTAAAAGTTCCATTCTTGGCTCTTCTAAGCATCAAACTCTGATTTCTGGGTGTTTTTGAAGGCAAATTGAACTAGAGTGGTCTATAAGGCCCAGTTTTTACTCACTTCGAGCTGAATTTGAACCAAACATAGGATGAAATCATATTAGTGGCTGTTCCAGAGCACTAGAAAAAAAAATCGAATTATTAGCTAATACTTATAAGTTATAAGTTAGTTCTTGAGTGTCATGTGACGATTTTCAAGATATTCAGAAAATTTCCAGTTCCAGATTGTTTCCGAGAGTCCCATTTGATTTGTAAGGTGCTCTAGAGTGTTCCAAAAGCTTTCTAAAATGTTTCCGAAAGTTCAGAAGTGTTCTAATCTGTTCTAGGATGTTTCTAAAATTCTAAATTGTTCTGTAACGTTTTACAGTAGACGCGCATGTAGTCCATTGTGCTATCCCCCTTTTGGTGCAGCTCTCTGTCTTATGTTAGGAACCCGCAACTATTATTCCTGAGCAATCTAGATTCAAAGTTGAAGTTCCTAAAAGTACAAGTATGTCTTCTATTTTAGTGCCAGTCTTCCTCTCAATCTAATCAAAAATATTCAAGATAGGATCCTCTGATTAGCTAACATTTACATTTAATTACCTCTATCTACTCTCACGCCAAATCCGAAATTACACCCAGCTCAAATAAATCCCGACGTACGAGAACACACTCGAAAATACCGATCGTTCTAGTTAAACAAGCTACCAGATGTCGAGCAATCTGATACCGACTTGTAACAGATATCTCTCAACATTTTATTACCTGCCGTTATTATTAAATAGGGAAATGTCGACTTTAATTGATTACGTTAACGTTAATTTTTCTCTTTGTTTGCAGGGGTTGACATTGACTCATGATCCAGCTACAAGTGACGATAGTGGTCGGGCTTCAGAAAGATTGACTGGATCTTCGGTAGTTTCTGTTGCACCACGGGAACGCGATGCCGACAGTTCCAGAGACCGGTTAAGTGACGTAAGTACAAACAATATAAATATCTTCAATAAAAACTTTTTTGAAATATTAATAGTGACTTTGGGCGCACCCAGTTTCAAAGTTTTAAAACGTTTTCGCCCAAGTTTTATTATATTTTATTTAAGGGGTTTGTTGCCAAGCAAGCGGTTTAAAGTTTTATCGAATTAGTTTTGGCGGAGGAAATTGTAATGGCTTTGGCTTGTTCAACTTTGTAATATGTTTTTTCTAATTTTTTCTAGGCGAGCAGTAGATGCAGTTCGGGCAAAGGATATATCGTAAGTAGCTTTTTTGAATTATATAAAAAAAAACAATTAAGTAGTCTGACTCAGAGGAAAAAAAAAAATGATTTATTCTCTCTCTTTGGGTAATTTCCTCTAGAAAGACAAAAACCAGTCGGCGTAACGTTTTCTCTCTTGATTATTTTTCGGTTTTTCCGCGCGCGAAAACAAAGTATATATATTTGCCGGGCAAAAACGCCCCTAGCGCAAAAAGAAGCTGAAGGGATGGGAAAAGTGTGCGGCATTAATCAGACGTGCGGTTTGCGTCAATGGAACCAGGGGTGGATCGAGAATTTGTGCGGCAAAAACAAAAATTATTACAATGTTAATCATTGAAAGGTGAACGGAGCATTTTTAGGTCCAAAAGGCATTCGTTTACATTCAAAGTGTCCGGTCTCAATGGAAAAAGTTTTGACTTTAAATTCTTATTCGAGAGTAGTTTAAAGCTACTCTGAACTCATAAATATGAGGTTTGGACCATTTGAAAATCAGGATTTTTTGGAATAGCTTCAGATGCTTTGGAACTTGCCTCAGAACTATAAGAGTGACTTTAAATCTGTGGACACTTCTGTACACTTTCTAACAAGTTTCTTCTACAATTTCCAAAAGTGCAAAAAATGAAGGAGCGAGTCTAGGAGTATCTTTAGAATTTTTGAATTCAGCTTCAAAAATTCTTCTGTAGGTAATTTTTTGACATCTTTGAGAGTTCAGACCTTGTGAGACTTACTTTAGATTTTGTGGGAACAACGTCAGACCTATCAAAAGTCCCTCTGAATAGAACCTGGCTCTAAATCTCAAAATAATTTAGTGTATGGAGTTTGGGGGATCCCAAAGGACCATTAGGACACAAAATCTCAACAAAAAAAAATTGAAATTTCATCGTTTTAGTAGTAAGGTACCTACCTTATGATTTAGATTTTGGAAAACTTTGAAAGGCGTAACTTTTTTTCTATTATGGATAGAAAGCTGAAACTTTCACTGAATTTTATCCCAATCAAGGGACTACAATCCCTGAAAATTTCAGCTCATTTGCACTTTTAGTTCCTGAGATAAAATCGTGTTAAGCAATTTGGGGTGATTTTTCAATTTTTCAATTTTTCTGAGTGCCTTTTTTCATAGATTTCGGCTTCAAATCTGAGAATAATTTAGTGTATGGAGTTTGGGAGATGTTGATTGACCATTAGGATACAAAATCTCGACAAAAAAAAATTTGAAATTTCATCGTTTTAGTAAGAAGGTACCTACCTTATGATTTAGATTTTGGAAAACTTTAAAAGGTCATAACTTTTTTTCTATTATAGATAGAAAGCTGAAACTTTCACTGAATTTTATCCCTTTCAAAGGACTACAATCCCTGAAAATTTCAGCTCATTTGCAGTTATAGTTCCTGAGATAAAATCGTGTTAAGCAATTTGGGGTGATTTATCAATTTTTCAATTTTTCTGAGTGCCTTTTTTCATAGATTTCGGCTTCAAATCGGAGAATAATTTTGTGTATGGAGTTTGGGGGATGTTGATTGACCATTAGGATACAAAATCTCGACAAAAAAAAATTTGAAATTTCATCGTTTTAGTAAGAAGGTACCTACCTTATGATTTAGATTTTGGAAAACTTTAAAAGGTCATAACTTTTTTTCTATTATAGATAGAAAGCTGAAACTTTCACTGAATTTTATCCCTTTCAAAGGACTACAATCCCTGAAAATTTCAGCTCATTTGCAGTTATAGTTCCTGAGATAAAATCGTGTTAAGCAATTTGGGGTGATTTATCAATTTTTCAATTTTTCTGAGTGCCTTTTTTCATAGATTTCGGCTTCAAATCGGAGAATAATTTTGTGTATGGAGTTTGGGGGATGTTGATTGACCATTAGGATACAAAATCTCGACAAAAAAAAATTTGAAATTTCATCGTTTTAGTAAGAAGGTACCTACCTTATGATTTAGATTTTGGAAAACTTTAAAAGGTCATAACTTTTTTTCTATTATAGATAGAAAGCTGAAACTTTCACTGAATTTTATCCCTTTCAAAGGACTACAATCCCTGAAAATTTCAGCTCATTTGCAGTTATAGTTCCTGAGATAAAATCGTGTTAAGCAATTTGGGGTGATTTATCAATTTTTCAATTTTTCTGAGTGCCTTTTTTCATAGATTTCGGCTTCAAATCGGAGAATAATTTTGTGTATGGAGTTTGGGGGATGTTGATTGACCATTAGGATACAAAATCTCGACAAAAAAAAATTTGAAATTTCATCGTTTTAGTAAGAAGGTACCTACCTTATGATTTAGATTTTGGAAAACTTTAAAAGGTCATAACTTTTTTTCTATTATAGATAGAAAGCTGAAACTTTCACTGAATTTTATCCCTTTCAAAGGACTACAATCCCTGAAAATTTCAGCTCATTTGCAGTTATAGTTCCTGAGATAAAATCGTGTTAAGCAATTTGGGGTGATTTATCAATTTTTCAATTTTTCTGAGTGCCTTTTTTCATAGATTTCGGCTTCAAATCGGAGAATAATTTTGTGTATGGAGTTTGGGGGATGTTGATTGACCATTAGGATACAAAATCTCGACAAAAAAAAATTTGAAATTTCATCGTTTTAGTAAGAAGGGACCTACCTTTTGATTTAGATTTTGGAAAACTTTGAAAGGTCATAACTTTTTTTCTATTATAGCTAGAAAGCTGAAACTTTCACTGAATTTTATCCAATCAAGGGACTACAATCCCTGAAAATTTCAACTCATTTGCACTTATAGTTCCTGAGATAAAATAGTGCTAAGCAATTTGGGGTGATTTATCAATTTTTCAATTTTTCTGAGTGCCTTTTTTCATAGATTTCGGCTTCAAATCGGAGAATAATTTTGTGTATGGAGTTTGGGGGATGTTGATTGACCATTAGGATACAAAATCTCGACAAAAAAAAATTTGAAATTTCATCGTTTTAGTAAGAAGGTACCTACCTTATGATTTAGATTTTGGAAAACTTTAAAAGGTCATAACTTTTTTTCTATTATAGATAGAAAGCTGAAACTTTCACTGAATTTTATCCCTTTCAAAGGACTACAATCCCTGAAAATTTCAGCTCATTTGCAGTTATAGTTCCTGAGATAAAATCGTGTTAAGCAATTTGGGGTGATTTATCAATTTTTCAATTTTTCTGAGTGCCTTTTTTCATAGATTTCGGCTTCAAATCGGAGAATAATTTTGTGTATGGAGTTTGGGGGATGTTGATTGACCATTAGGATACAAAATCTCGACAAAAAAAAATTTGAAATTTCATCGTTTTAGTAAGAAGGGACCTACCTTTTGATTTAGATTTTGGAAAACTTTGAAAGGTCATAACTTTTTTTCTATTATAGCTAGAAAGCTGAAACTTTCACTGAATTTTATCCAATCAAGGGACTACAATCCCTGAAAATTTCAACTCATTTGCACTTATAGTTCCTGAGATAAAATAGTGCTAAGCAATTTGGGGTGATTTATCAATTTTTCAATTTTTCTGAGTGCCTTTTTTCATAGATTTCGGCTTCAAATCGGAGAATAATTTTGTGTATGGAGTTTGGGGGATGTTGATTGACCATTAGGATACAAAATCTCGACAAAAAAAAATTTGAAATTTCATCGTTTTAGTAAGAAGGTACCTACCTTATGATTTAGATTTTGGAAAACTTTAAAAGGTCATAACTTTTTTTCTATTATAGATAGAAAGCTGAAACTTTCACTGAATTTTATCCCTTTCAAAGGACTACAATCCCTGAAAATTTCAGCTCATTTGCAGTTATAGTTCCTGAGATAAAATCGTGTTAAGCAATTTGGGGTGATTTATCAATTTTTCAATTTTTCTGAGTGCCTTTTTTCATAGATTTCGGCTTCAAATCGGAGAATAATTTTGTGTATGGAGTTTGGGGGATGTTGATTGACCATTAGGATACAAAATCTCGACAAAAAAAAATTTGAAATTTCATCGTTTTAGTAAGAAGGGACCTACCTTTTGATTTAGATTTTGGAAAACTTTGAAAGGTCATAACTTTTTTTCTATTATAGCTAGAAAGCTGAAACTTTCACTGAATTTTATCCAATCAAGGGACTACAATCCCTGAAAATTTCAACTCATTTGCACTTATAGTTCCTGAGATAAAATAGTGCTAAGCAATTTGGGGTGATTTATCAATTTTTCAATTTTTCTGAGTGCCTTTTTTCATAGATTTCGGCTTCAAATCGGAGAATAATTTTGTGTATGGAGTTTGGGGGATGTTGATTGACCATTAGGATACAAAATCTCGACAAAAAAAAATTTGAAATTTCATCGTTTTAGTAAGAAGGTACCTACCTTATGATTTAGATTTTGGAAAACTTTAAAAGGTCATAACTTTTTTTCTATTATAGATAGAAAGCTGAAACTTTCACTGAATTTTATCCCTTTCAAAGGACTACAATCCCTGAAAATTTCAGCTCATTTGCAGTTATAGTTCCTGAGATAAAATCGTGTTAAGCAATTTGGGGTGATTTATCAATTTTTCAATTTTTCTGAGTGCCTTTTTTCATAGATTTCGGCTTCAAATCGGAGAATAATTTTGTGTATGGAGTTTGGGGGATGTTGATTGACCATTAGGATACAAAATCTCGACAAAAAAAAATTTGAAATTTCATCGTTTTAGTAAGAAGGGACCTACCTTTTGATTTAGATTTTGGAAAACTTTGAAAGGTCATAACTTTTTTTCTATTATAGCTAGAAAGCTGAAACTTTCACTGAATTTTATCCAATCAAGGGACTACAATCCCTGAAAATTTCAGCTCATTTGCAGTTATAGTTCCTGAGATAAAATCGTGTTAAGCAATTTGGGGTGATTTATCAATTTTTCAATTTTTCTGAGTGCCTTTTTTCATAGATTTCGGCTTCAAATCGGAGAATAATTTTGTGTATGGAGTTTGGGGGATGTTGATTGACCATTAGGATACAAAATCTCGACAAAAAAAAATTTGAAATTTCATCGTTTT